AATATATTTTCTTTGTGAAAAGGCCGGTTTCATACTTTCTGTAAAGTTAGGTTTGTGTTCATTGTGGCTTTTATTTCATTTCTTATTTTGCATTTATTAGCATTCAGTTTTCTTGAGTTGAAATGTCAATCACAGACAGATCCGCTCTTGTTGATGTCCACAGGTGCCGGTTGCCAGCATCCCAGCCGGCATTCACGAGGCGGGCAAAACCATCAACAAAACTGATTCGCTGTTCTCGCAGGAGAGAGACCCGCGCTTCAGCGACATGTACACAGGCATCTCTGGATGTATGTTCATACAGATATTACATCTGACTAGCACCGCACCACGCACTGATTTCAATCTAAACATGCAATTTACTGTAATTTCACTTAATGTAATTACAAAACCCGCACTTGTCTGCCAGCTCATGTTTGTACGCTATTTAATGCTTGATATGAAGTGTATACAATCTGTGATTGGTGCATTTGGTAGATATTACGACAACCTTCAGAAATTCCAGTGTAAACACATGAAGTCCAGATTTCTAGCTGGTCAAAGCCAGTTGTTTAGGGTCATTAGCTGGTTCAAGTTGGGCAATTCTGATAAGTTTGCATGCCTTTGCTCTGTAGTTTGACTCTGGCCAGGGCTTAAAATTCTCTGGCACCGTGCTTTAAGAACAAAGTTCGCCAAATTATTACCCCCTCTCGTTGAGATCGCTGCCTGATTGCCTTATCCGAACCCCTCCCCCACACCTAACCCTAAACCTACCAATACTAGGGGGGTAGTAATCTGGCGGGGGTCAGAATTGGGCACAACACCGGATCGCCGGTTTGCAGCGTTTGGCTACGGAAAAAATAATCCTACATTTAAAAATAATGTACTTAAGTTGGTTATGTTCATATTATGTATAGGCATATGACATTATGTATTTTAACAGTGTTATTCAATAAAATCATGTAATTACTTGGTTTTGATCATATTTCAAAATACAACTGCATTGTTTTACGTTTTGTAATTAAAAGACCAATATTTTGTCATTGAAAATTTCTTAAAAATAGTTTGCTGCAGCATGGATCAACCTGCTGGTTTCGTCTGGCCCGTGCTGCCCCCGCCCCCGGAAAAAAGTTCAGGCTCAGGATTTTTTTATTTTTGCTTTAACCTCTGTGGCTGATAAAGATGTTGCTGTAATGTGATGTGTGACTGTGTCTCCTCTCTTGAATGTAGTCATTCAGTGTGAGCTCGATAAAGATCTGTGTTTGTTTGTGTTTGTGTTTAGCTGATAAGAAGATGATGGTGCCGTCCTCCACTGCTGGCGGCCAGCAGTTATACTCTCAAGGCAGCCCGTTCCAGCCCGGACACTCCGGCAAGAGCTTCAGGTGTGGACAAACACACTTCACATGAAAGTAGAAACACAGTCTGCTCATTTGATTGCTTTAATGCAGTATTATACAACTCCAGTCGCACCAATACCACAGTTTTTACATGCAACATCACAAAAAATATTACTGATACAATATTGTTCAAAACTTTTTGTTCAGTTGTTTTAATACTTTTATTCAGCAAGGATGCATTAAATTTATCAATTTGCATTGATCAAGTGACCGTAAAGACTTATAAATATTAATTCAAATAAATGCTGTTATTTTAAACTTTCTATTCATCAAAGAATCTTAAAAAATGTATCCGTTTCCACAAAAATATTAAGCAGCGCACCTCAAAATCAGCATATTAGAATGATTTCTGAAGGATCATGTGACACTGAAGACTGGAGTAATGATGCTGAAAATTCAGAGTTGAATAAATTATTTTAATATATATTTAAATAGAACAGTTATAAGAATATTTCAGAATATTACTGTTTTTGCTGTATTTTTGTACTTTCCTGGAATTATATACTGTATATTACAGAATAATGTTAATTATGGCTGTCTACAAAATATAACTTTGGTGTGAATGGTAGGTGAATTGAGAACATTTATTAGTCGCAAATATTTCTTGCTGGCCATAAAACTATTTGTGCCATTATTGCATTAAATGCTTACGCTGTGTGCTTTTGAAGAAGAAATTTGACAGAGAAAATGTAGTTCATTTTCCCGTCACTCACATCATACTTTAGATGGGTTTCAAAATGCCACCTGTCACCAAAATGTCGAGGCCTGTCATGGTTTAGGGACTTATTTTAAGCTAGTTGCTAATATATATATATATATATATACACACACCGCTCACTTCAAGTGTAACATCAAAGCAAGCGCGCACCGCGTCTCTCACAGCGCATCCTGTGCAATGAAGCCCGCGAATGTCCTTGTAATTCGCTTCAACCTTTCCAAACTTTATGAAAGATTATTTTACGGAAGGTTCGAGTGGTGTATGTGTGTGAGGAATTGGAAGCAAGCAGAATACGGGTGTTTCCAAAGCAAACTCAGCGTCATCGCACATCTGGTTAAAATCTAAGCTCATTTCAGAATTCTGAAATTCTCAGTTTTGCCCAAGCCGTCAAACTGACGTCATCAGAAAAGGAATGCCATTCCAGAGCGGAAGTAAATGTTCAGATTTTGATTAGAGATTACCAAAACAAACAATTATTTTCAGCGGATTAACTTGCACAGATTAATTGTTCACATCAAGACTAGCAATGTGCGCTAGTAAAGTAATAATGTACTATACATACTGGTAATGTATAGCCTGAATGCACTGTAAGTTGCTTTGGATAAAAGCGTCTGCTAAATGCATAAATTATTAAATTAAATTTCAATTTTGATTTCATGCGGACTTTAAACAAATACAGGTAATTTACAAAATTAAAGTTCAATTGAAAGTATTTTTATTTTATTTATTTTTTTACATATTAAAAGTTTGTTTTATAGCAAAAGCAGATGACTCCAACAGTCGTTTTTTGGCTAAAGCAGATAACGCCACATTTCATGTTTTACGAAACTCCTCTCAGCTAGCACGTCTTTTCAAAGTGAAAGTAGCCTTGTCACCTGACCTGAATGACCTGAATCGCTAAAATGGACTAAACGGCTTGTTCTGTTCAAAAACAACAAGGGTGCTTGTCGGCTTCTGCAGTAAAACAAATGGACTTGTCGGCTTCTGTTCAAAAACAACAATGGCGCTTGTCGGCTTCTGCAGTAAAATGTGAACTCGCGATGCCTTGAAAGTGGACAAAACCGGCTTTTTTGACAAAACGTGTTTAGGGTTCAGATCGCGCTATATGTGGATTTTTTTTAAAGTGGCATTTATCGGTTTTTGCAAATGAACTCTTCATATTGATACACTGAATAAAATTATAAACGCAACACTTTTGTTTTAGTCCCCATTTTTCATGAGCTGAACTCAAAGATCTAAGACTTTTTCTATGTACACAAAAGGCCTATTTCTCTCAAATATTGTTCACAAATCTGTCTAAATCTGTGTTAGTGAGCACTTCTC